TTAAGGACGGCTAGCGCAGATAGCCCTCGTGTAGCTTTGCGCGAAATTCAAAAACAAACAGAGAAGCTGGGCACGATGAAGAATCACTGAAGGTGAAGAAGGCATGTTTTGATTGTCTAGGAACTATGCCAAAGTTAGGATATGTACGAACTGAAAAGCCTGTTCTTGAAGCATCCTATCAAGTTGCGTATCAGATGGCCAACGCGAAAAAACCTTATACAATCGCTGAAGAGTTAGTGAAGCCATGTATCCTTGAAGTTGTTAAGACCATTCTGGGGAAAGATGAGGAAAGGAAGGTGCAACAAGTACCAATGTCTAACAATGTCATCAGGAACAGAATAATTGATATGAGCGAGGACATCTTGGAACAGGTGATTACTGATATCAAGGCGACTCTTGCAAAAATATCATTGCAATTGAATGAATCTACAGATATCTCCCATTGTAGCCAACTGATTGCTCTTGTTCGTTATGTCAAGAATGAAGAAGTACTAGAACACATTCTATTTTGTGAATCACTAAAGACCACCACAAAAGGCCAGAACGTGTTCGACCTCATAAAAGAATTTTTCTTAAAACATGGATTGGATATGAACATCGTTGGTTCCATATGTACAGGTGGCGCTCCTGCTATGCTAGGAAATCGGTCTGGATTTGCAGCCCTCATGAAACGGAAAATTCCCGAGGTCCGTGTCACACACTGCATGCTTCATCGGTATGCATTAGCAACGAAGACTTTACCAAAAAGTCTGCAAGACGTTTTGTCAACATGTGTGAAAATTGTTAACGTAATTGGAGGACGTTCACTGAGCCATCGTTTATTTCAAGCATTTTGTGAAAGTATGGATTCTGAACACACGGTTCTACTGTACCACACGGAGGTGAGATGGATATCCCGTGGACGTGTCTTGCAGCGTATAATTGAGCTTCGCGAGGAGATCAAGACATTTTTAAAGGATCAAAAGTTGGATCTCTTTTCTTCATTTGATTCCCCAAATGTTCGAAGTGAAGACTTTGGAAAATTTTTGGGCATCACAATAACAAGATTCCCATGCATTTCCAAGAAAGCACTTACTGTACTTGTTCCCTTCGCAACAACATATCTTTTCTTTCGACTCTTCTTCATGTAAAAAGCAAGTTTCGAAATCGCCTCGATGCTCAGCACGACACGCGCATCGCTCTCAGCAAAAAGGAACCCCGTATTCCAGATATAATTGCGAGGAAACAAGAACAAATGTCAAATTGATAGGATTTGATATGAATTTTCGATACTATGTACATCTAATTTGTGTGAAAATATTTTTTTCTGACTCATGATAACGTGTTTTCTTTTCTAGCAAACTCACACAGACACACACATACACACACACAGGCATACGGACACACACACAGGCATACGGACACACACAGACACACACATACACACACACAGGCATACGGACACACACAGACACACACATACACACACACAGGCATACGGACACACACACACGGACACATATATATAAATTTTTCTGACTCATGATAACGTGTTTTCTTTTCTGGCAAAATAAGTGTTTTTCTTTTTTCGAAAATTTGTGTTAATTAAGAATACTCATTAATTAGTACTTAATAATTTGACCTGAAAAAAAATTCATTTTTGCTTTTAACTCTGGGGTGCGGGATGGCATTTCAAAGCATCAAGGGGTACCAGCATTGAAATAAGTTGGGAACCACTAGATTAGAATATTACCAGACGGGGCGACATGTACTGTAATAACATGGTGAGGCTCCAAATCGATTTGACATAAAGTAATCAACCTATGTACTTTGTAAACTGAGTCAACACTGACTGACGAAGTTTTAAATTACTTCATGTGTCCGGGATCTTCAAGATCTTGATGAAATTTAGTTGAATGGACGGCAACTGCATGGTATAGAAACATAAGTATAGAGAAAGACGTTTTAAAAGTCTTTCGCTTTTCGTCTTCATGAATTTTCAAACGAAAGGCGGAAGACTTTCGAAACGTCGTCCTCTATACTTGTGTTTCTACAACAGGCAGAATGAATACTCTGCCTAAACAATCTATCAAAGAATATTTCAAGACCTTGTTGACGAAGGAATGATGTAACGGTGAGTATAGGAACTTTACCATTAAAAGCTTTACACAGTTTAACTGTGCATTCTTCACACACTCTCTTTGATATATTTAATCTCGCAAGTTATACAAGTAAATAATTTATGACCGACATGGAGCAGTGTAGGACTTTTTGATGACATAGTTTATAGATTCTTGCAAGTTATACAGTTAAATTATGAGTTTTCCGCATGACAAAGAATGCGAGTTTTTAATCACATAGTTGATTATTATAGTAATAGTTCTTGAGAGCAGTCCTTGTAATAATCTAACCTATATAAAAGCCAATGTGTGTCACGTCACGCTTTATTTCTCGAAATAGGAGGAGTCATAAAAGCCAAAATGCATTTATTCAAATAAAATAGTTCAATTACTGTCTACCCAGTGCTCATTATGATTTTAGTGACATGGGTGCAAGGGGGCCGTGAGGGGGGAGCGTGAAACCTTATAAGTGTAGTGAGTGTTAATATAATAAGCCTGAACTAAAGACGTTGTTTTGTAATTAAGCACAAAACTACACAATGGGATATCTGTGTTCTGCCCACCAGGGGTATCGAAACCCGGTTTCTAG